GAATTAAATTTAGTGAGTGCGCGAGCATGTTTTCGACACCGCCATCTTTGGCGATTTTTCATTTTTTCTTGGCATAGCTAAATGCCCTGAAAATTAACAGATGTGTACTTCACATAATACAAAACCCACTAAAAAAGTTCCAAAAACTAGTAAAATTGTTTAGACCTCGAACTAAAGTGAAAACTTTTTTTTTTTTTTTTTTTTTGAAAAACTAGCCCCTAAGGTGTTAGTGGTGCTGATAAAGGCAGACATCACTACCACCCCGGGGCCGGCTCCATCTATTGGTGGGGAGCATCACCTGCTGGAAAGCGGGTCCAGCATCCCATTAACATCTGATCAATTTAACAGAGTGTTCCTGCCAGCATTGATTACCCTGACATGCAGGGGATGAACTAAAGTGAAAACAAAAAGTAAAAAGTGAAAAAAAACGTGGGCACCGCCATCTTTGGCGATTTTTAATTCTTATTTGGCTAATCCGAATGACTTGAAAAATTATAGGCATGTACCTCACGGCATAGAGAACTCATAAAAAACAATTCAGAAAAAAACAATTATTTTTAGGCCCCGAAATATTTTTTGGCGGGGTCCGAACACCGTCGGGTTCGGACCCCGTACGGGATCCCGAACGCCCGAATGTACGGAGGTCCGCCCAGGGGCCTCCGTACGTACAGGCTACATAATTTTAAATTTGGCAAAGGAATTCGATATGGGCCAAAAAAAGTGCAGTCTAAGTTTCTGCACAACATTTTTTTTATTTTATTATTATTATTTTTGTTTTTCTTGCAGGCGCCTACTATAGCCCTTGCCCAGGCAACCAAGGTCACCCAGGCGGCAGGTTTCTGCCTGTTTTTACAGTCCAATTTTTAGTCATCACCGAGAAAGAGCCGTCCATGTTTGGTGGGGTCTTAATGAGCGCTATCAGTCTTATGCTGTCGAGTGCCCTGCGGGTCCATGGGATATGCTTTTTTTATAACAGTTTTTAACTACCCACTTCATTTGAAGAGCTATGGATTCCTATGGATTCCTATTTACTCAATTTTACTGTCAATTATCTCAGGACCGCCTTCTTGCAGGTTCCCCATGATGAAGGATCAGGCCACAGTGTTGATGCAGGTTAGCATTCTGGGGTCACCCGTCCAGAGGAAGCACCTGACCTGGGTCTTAAGCGTGTTGAACACACTAAGATTTTTTTTCTTCAATCTTCAATTATTTTCTTTAATTATTTTCTTTAATCATTTTCTTTAAGTATTTTCTTTAATTATTTTCCTTTTTTGCCCGGCCCTTCCTGTGAACTGAATTCCATGGTATGCATACATATAGCCCAGATAATCCTAGCAGGACTATGCCCTCAGAGCCATAAAGGCAGGGATGTACCTAAATCTGCAATTGCTTGCTGGTCCTATTGGATAGGGCGATGCATGAGGTTCTGCCTGGACATCACTTCCAAATTGGTTCTTATGAAACCAACCAAGGCAAAAGGACACACAAAGGGCCTCCCTCCACTTCACATTATTTCAAATGCATCTGGACGGTCAGTGCACCAGGTACATCTCGGACTGACTGAACATTTTTAATGTACACCATCACCGACTCCAGACACACTTAGTATGTTCTGTAGTGGGACACAGTTAGAATGTTCTGCAGTGGACCAAGAAGGCCCATAGCCTGCAGGGCCCAGAAAAAGTAAAGAAAAAACTGTCAGAATCCGACTGCACGAATTCTGATGTGGGTTACCAAAAAAAAAAAAAAAAAAAAAAAGGTCCTTGAAATACGAGAAGGTTGTTTCTGTCCTTGGACCTACATATTGCAAGCCCAAGGAAAAACGCTTACTTTGCTGCCTTGGATCAGTTGTTAGTACTTGTTACACCCATGATCTGTTGAAATACAGACTCAAGATGGAATCTAGATTCTAGACGCAACCCGATGAACAGAATAAAATAATTCGAGATTACCTGGGCCTTTCAATGACGATATCTCAAGGCCGTCGTCGCTCTCCAAACGAAAAAAAAAAAGACAAAAACAGTAAACTCGTGTATATCGATAGCACAAAATGTGAGGCTTTATGCTCACCGAGGACATAATGTGCTAAGCCAAAAGTACCGGTAAGGGTCCGGTATGCATGAAGAATGCCAGCATCACCCTTCTGCCTCGTCCCCTCGGGCAATGAAATGTTGGAACTCGAACCTGTTCTTGGAGTCCCAATGCACTGCGCACTTCACTCAGGGGGTTTCTCGACCCAGGCACACGAGCGACCACCCAGAGGTGCAAGTTCCGCGCCTTGTACTGTCACAGCGTCGGCTAATGACTGGCACATCAGGCTACCAGTCCGGACGATAGAGACCGAAGACGAGCGCCTTTGCGGCCAAAGTGCGGTGTGGCTTGCATGAATCGCAACAGCTACGCTAGGTTGGCGTAAGATGCTGATGAGGGAGAGCAACAGCGCAGGGCAGCAGCTGGGAAAGATGTGTTACCTCGTTGTGGGCATGAGCATCGACTTGAACTTCTCGGCAAGTCCCGGCAGTGGCACTATTTCTAGGTGGTGAGTGGCTGAAGACTGCTAAGTCGGGTCTCTAATCCTCTGTCTTCCCTCTCCTCACAACCAGGTTCAGACGAAAAGAGACAGCACATTGCAAGTACCGAAACTTCTGCCAGGATACGTCGGAGGTTTGTAAGCATGCATGTGCTTCTCTTGTCACAACCTTTTTTAGCTCTCGCCTACTCTCCCCCCCTCCCTCTCAGTTCTCGCCGCTCGGACCCTTATTGCCTTGGTTGCCAGGGTTCCGAACGGCCAAATCACTATATATTCCGAGGCGAAGACCACGTTCAGAGGCAACCTTGTTTCCTTCAGGGTGTACGCTGAGAGCATGTCAGCCCCTGACCTTAGAACTACCATCTTCACCCGAATAGAATGCCCGGTCATTAAAAAAAAAAAAAAAAAAAAAAAAAAAAAAAGCCCAGTCATTATCACTATCTAGACTGAAAGTTGCCCCAAATGC